TTGCTTTCTAAGGATTTTATCATATATTTAATAATAATAATGAAATTAACACATTATTGCATAAAAGTATCTACCTTGATGGCTAATGGTAATTTTAGTGGATTTTAAATTTCATGTAGCCTCTTTTAAAAAAAAAAAAAAAAAATGGATACTTTTTCCTTATGGGTTTAATAGTTTCAGTATCCTGTCTTAGAGTTTATTTCACCAAAGAAGGCAAAGAACTTACCGATTATTAAAATCAAGATGTTGGTCCCGAAACTTTTGAGCTGTAGTGTAAGTAGTTTTTGTTTTGAAAATGTCAAAATAAAAATACATTTATTATATTAAAAATCCATTTGAGTTTGTGTTTAATAAACTGGGTTTAATCTGTTGTACACAACCTTTTTGCTATCTTGGCAATCATTTCTATCTTGTGTCAGAATAAACTAATTAATTATGGTATGGGAAGTCTTGATGCATTTTCTTTGTCTATGCAGATGGATTTGATCATGTTTGCATTATCAGATAGAGACTAGCCTCAGGACCTGTAATGCTTGTCCTGTAATATTAAAAGTTGTCCATTATCACACCCAGTGTGCAAATGGACAACTGTTAATGTTTACGAAGATATTGTAACTGTGAGCTTTATTTCTTAGGTATATTCAGGTGAAAAGCTATTTGCCCCAAATAACTAAGTAGTCTGTTTTATAAAAAAAAAAAAAAAAAAAAAAAAATATATTTATTTATTTGATTATTGTAGATTTTAAAAAGATACAAATGCATTAACTGTAATGGGTTTGAGATTTTTGTATCTAATGTCATTTTAAATGGCAGAGTTTTATAATGTGTCACAAAACTGCAATGAATTTGAGATTGTGAAAAATTTGGCCAGGTCTTAATGTCACACTAAAGATAGCAAAATTGTCTGAAGAACTAAATTCCCTACCAATGACAGCACTCCCTTAGATTAACTTAAGGAACACTGGTCTCAAAACTGCTACAATTATTCAGTACCAAAGACTGACATTGCCTCAATTTCAGATTACAAATTCAGAAAAAAAAAAAAAAGGGAAAAAAAAAGAAGATATATGCTTAACAATATTTAAGGTCTCAAAAAGATGTCCTTTAAATGGTAACATTTTATATATAACAGTAGAAATGAAGAGAAAATTATAGTTAGACTTTTACTGAGTAACTTTTTGACAATATGAGTAAAATTCATTGATATTGCAAATTTTAAAATTGGCTATAAAAGGTTGAGTCAAACATACTTTTAAAAACAAAATACAAATAGTCTTGAGCCAGACATGCTAGAAATACTCTATAGGGATAAGCAAATTTTCATTTCTTTTAAAGTAATTTTTTTTTAGAAAAGAATTTTTTGTCTTAACTAAAAGAAAAACAAAATTATCTTGGCCTGCCCAAGTGCAATTACATTGAAAGGCATAGAACAGTGTTAAGTCATGAGCAATATCATAAAATGGAACTGGTCAGAGAGATTTATTTGAATCTGATACTTGGCTATGTCAAGTGTTGATGAAGAATTCTCAACCCGAATCATTTCCCGAAAATCCCTCCATATGAGCAGATATCAAATGGATATTTTTTTTTCTTGTAAGGGAATCTGAGAACTTTTCAGCACACCTTTGTACATGCTTACCAGTAAAAATTTTCATAATACATTTTTGTAGATGTGATTAAAAAAAAAAAATCTGGGTTTTTAGGCTAAAACTATAAATTTGCAGAAAGAAAGCTCCCAAGACAAATCCACATTAATAGCCACATGTATATAATAATACATAAAAAAAAACCTGCATTATTAATGCAGTAATAGACAGATTGATTTTAAGTATCTTCAGGAAACAACCAATCAGCAATAAAGGTTAAGAAATCAATGAGCTTAGAGTTAAAATTTCTGCATTGAAAATTGAAACCTGAAACTGCAGTTTGATCATTTGAAATGACAGTGTGCAATGTATGGCGTAGCATTTACACATGTAATATTATCTCCAAGTAATTCAAAATCTCTGCAGTTCAACTCAAGTGCAAAACCATAATGGATTCTAGAGGTCTAATGAGTAAAATCCTGAACGTTATAAATATATCTATGCATGTCTGCTTAGGTTGCAATGTATATACATTAACAGATTATGTAAGATACATTTGTAAATATAAGCATCTTTATATGCACAAATATGTTTATTTCTATAAATATAATTTATTGATCTATATAGGCATATATCTATAAATGCATGGGCATAAATGCCAACTTATATGCTTAGTTTAGGAATCTGCTTAATAAATATTTATTGGAATGTCTGCATGAATAAATGCATCTTATAGATTTTTAAATCTGGGTAAGAGTGTGTGTGTATGTGTGCATGTGGATGCCAGAATGTTCACAGCATGGTGACTTATTTGGTCTGAGGTTTACATTGAAGTCTAAAACCGATTAATTGTTCAGTGATATATCTATGTCACATTGCCTACATTGATAAATGCTTTATCTCCAATATTGAGCACTCTTCACTTATATACGTGTGTGTGTGTGTGTATATATATATATATATATATATATATATATATGACCATGAGACCTAGGTTCGAATTTCACTACAGTTGATTTGTCAGGAAGGAGACTTCCTGATGTTATTGGTCTGGAGGGGGCGATCACAGTGTGCGGCAGATTTGGAAAGTGCCTGAAAACCATACCACAGGTTGACCCAAACCGTGTGAATAAAAGTGGGTTGACGGAACACTTGGAAGCTGTCGATAGCTGTTCTAGCACAAAGTCACAAGTCATCATACCTGAGGGCTTGTGTGTGCTGGCCTTGTTCACATTGCTGATGATGGCAGATAACACACTCACTCTCCCAGAAACTGTAACTAAGGTTTGCTCAGTTTCAGTATAAACCACAGGTGGGCTCTGTGAGTGTTGGACAAACACAAATGTGCCTGAGCAAGAGTCTGCAATAGGGATTGGCTACCTGCCCTAGCAGATGGGTATCCTTGAACAAGTGTGGCCAGCTATTGTGTGTGTGTGTGTACAAATCAAAAGTAGCACTCAGATTCTGATAAGTCATTTTGTTAATATTTATCTTTAAATTACTGATTTTCTTTAAAATTATTTTATAGATTCTTTAATAATTCTAACTAAATAAATGGTTACATAAACATGTCTTCCATTGATTTCTACATTTTTGTACACCATAATACAAATGGCAAACAAACAAGCAATTAGCAACCATAAAAGCAGAAATTGGGTGTAACTTTACTCATCCTCTGTCTCTCTAATAAAAATATAGTTTTAAATTGTTTCATGATTAAACACTATCTTCAAACCTGAAGATGACGTCCAAGTATGAAATACATTGACACCACTTGGTGGCGACCTGAGTGTTCAGTATATATATTATAATTATTGTATGTTCTGGCAGCAACTTTCTTTTATTTTTTTTTTTCTTTTAAAAAACATCTTTTGTTAAAAATTAAAGACAAGGAAAATTTAATTAAATATGGAGAAATCAACACCACCTTGAAAGTGGCTAAAGTGGCTGAAAGCGCTTGGGACAATGGACAATATTTGCACTCTTTTACTCCCACCAAATGAAAAAAAAAAATGGAAGAACGCTGAGAAAACTAAGTAAAAATGTATTCAATTTTCCTTGTTTGTAATATTTAACAGTGTGTGTGTGTATATATATATATATATATATATATATATATATATTTTTTTTTTAAGGTGTACTATATTTATGGGGTAAAGTGCTAGATATCAGAGATAGAGCATATGTAAATATAAAAGTGAACATTGAAGTCCAAAACTCAGGTGACAGGTTGTTTCATGCTAGATGCAATCGTCACCTGGTGATTGCGTCTAGCATGAAACAGCCTGTCACCTCCAATCAATTTGCTGACTTCAATGCCCATTTTTATTTTATATATATATATATATATATATATATATATATATATATATATATATATATATATATGCACATACATATAAACTTAGCCATAGCAAAGTGGGGGGGGGGGCATGGTGGAGTAATGGATAACAGCTCAGATTGAGGAATCAGAGAGCCATGTTCAAATTCCAGTTGGATCCATTACATTCATTTATGTGCTAATATGCTTGGGAAAGGCATGAATCCTCTTCTCCTCACATTTATGGGTAAATAGGACAGATTAGATGGCAACTAATCTACCGTAAAAAGAAATGGTAACCTACTGTGGGAAAAAAATCTGCCTCATCAGTCATGTATCACAAGACACATGATTGCCTAAGAGTGTATCACACATGGCACATAATTGACTGATAGCAAAGTGTGTATAGACTTTTCTTTTTTCTGCCATATAGGGGTAGGGAAAATAAAATGCCAAGACGAGACAACATGGGATCAGGAGAAAGAGTCAGGGTCAACATTGAAATGGTTTTTTCCTCCTTTTTTTTTTTCTTTTTCTTTCAAGGTAGGATATCAATAAGAGCTGGATGGGATGGGGATGGGATGGGATGAAAATAGCCAACTATTTTGGGGGCTCAGCAGTAACAATATCTTCTATTCTTCAAAAATCATTAAGTTGAATAAAAGAAAAAAAAAAAAAATATATCACTATTCTTACAAAATGCTGGCTCATACTTTTAAAAACACGATGGTTACATACATACACCCACACATCGCGAGAGAAGGATGAAATACTATAGATAAAAAAATAAACAAAAACAGTTGCAAAAAGGTGGGGTGGGGTTAATACTGTCCAATGAACAAACCAAGAATATAGATGATAGGATGTCAGCTGCAAACATTATTGTAAGAAACTTGTTGAAACAAAAAGGTGCTGTGTTTTTGTTTTTTTTTTGTTTTATTTTTGGTAGAGGAAGGGGGAATCCATATTTAAAGATGATGAAACAATTAACAAGAGAGATGAATGGTGACCAGCAAAAAAAAATGTCCTCAAACCATGTGCATATATTTAAAATAAAACAATAACAAAGGAACGACAATAGCGATTGTTAATACAGCAGCAAGAATATTCTTATAACGGAGTCCACAATCGGCACCATCCCCACTACACAGACTGCCAGAACCTTTATTCAAGGGCTGAATTGATTTATTGGTAAGAACAGATATCACTTCGTCCAGCGAATGGCGATTAGTTCGAGTAGATTCTCGAAGAATTTCCAAATCACGGTCCATATTCCGAAGAAACTCTTCAGCCTCTTTTGTTTGTGATTGCATCATGTCTTTGATGCTTAGTGTGTGTATAACTCGTCGTTGTGTGTCTGGGTCAGAGAGATTACAACTTTGGCTGACCTCATCGATAGCACTGAGAGGCATCTCACTGTCTGTGTCTGTCCATGTTTCACAGTTGTTAAAGTGAGATTCATTGTGTCGATCCAAACAACCTTTTTGTGATGATGGCAACTGTGTTGCATCTGCTGACACTAGAATGTTGCTCTGTGCACAATTTTCAGATATGATCCCATATTTTTTTATTGGTACTTTTATATGTTTTAAGCCAAACAGATCTTGGTCTCTGATTAAATGGTTTACACGTTTCAGTTCAGATATCTGAAAATAGAATAAAAGAAAATAGACATTGTGACAAGACCGAATGGTGGTTTTTATTGTTTCTGTGGATATTAAAGTGAAAAATAAAATACAAGTGTCTGGACCTTGCAAGAGAACTGAAATAGACAGTAGTACCAGTCATTATCAGAGTGTTGGAAACAACTTCAAAAAAAAAAAAAAAAAGAAAAAAAAAAGAAGCTGAAAACCTAGGAAAAGAGACCATCCAGACCACCACTTCCCAATCATCAGTTAATTACCCAAGGTTCGGTAAGAAAATGGAGGAGACATTTGAGTTGGTAATTAAGGTAGTTTAGATATAACCAAAAATTTTCTGCCTATAGCTGACACTAAATAGAAATGAAAGAAAAAAAAGACTAAACTTATATAAAAGTAAATTTTATTGTCATAATATTTGTACTATTTATAAAGAAAAAAGTAATGTAAAATCATGAGTGTGCATTTAATACAAAAATAATTATGTACACAAAACTGGTTTTACTCCCGTTCCCCATCAAATACTGATATAGGTATCTCCACAAAGTCACTATAAAAAAAAAAAGTCAGCATACCATGACGAAAACAGACTCCAAACGTAATGAAAAAGTTTTATCAGTTAAAATCTTTGTTAAAAGGTAGAGGAAAGATCAAAGTATTTTTTGAATGTTTAGTTAAATTTTTTACTCCTTTTTAGAAAATTTGAAATTTTGATTAAAAATCTTGCAGATGTACTATAAATTAGTACAGCAAATTTTAGCATATTTTTGATGGTGACAGACATTAATTTGGAAATTCTGCCCAATATTTTTTTTTTAAATTGACCCCCCTCTTACCAAAAATCTGTTCTGAATTGAAAAATAAAAAATACAATAAAACTAATTAATTTAATTAAGGAAGCTTTTAATTGATTTTATGAATAATATACATTAAGGACAATACTGTCTTAAGAAAAAAATCTTTTCAATGAAAAATGAATTTTTACAAGATTTGTTTTCATTTTTTTATTTTTTTTATTATTTTAATTAGAATAATTAATAATCTTTTAAAATTCAGTTTCAATAGTGTAACTTAGGAAATATTGTTATTAAGTAAAATTATATTTACTAATCATATATTGTAAAGCTTATTACAATTTGACAACCCTGAATACTTTTAAAAAGAATTTTGAATTGTTTTTGTATGTGTAAAAACATACTGAATTTTATAGATACAGTCACTTATAGGCAACACTATCAGAAAATAAGAGCAACAATTATAATAAATTTAGAGCCAAAATTCTCTAGAATTCAATAAAACATTACAGAGAATATTTTCTTGAATTTTGAAGATTACTGAATATTTAAAAGGCAATCACGTTATATTCCTCAATTATTTTTTTAAGGCACCCCTAGAACAATATTAGATAAGAATCTGTCGTCGAGCTGTCACAGAGCTATTAAAAAGCTGTCAATATAAATAAACAAACTACTATTGTGTTAAAAAAGGCATTCCTGTGATATTTTAAGCTTAAAAGTAAATAATACTAGTTTCAAATCAGATTAATATTCCTCAAATAAAGTTTTAGAAAAGCATATTTTATTTGGGGGAGATTTCTTTTAATAAAGAAATTTATATTTTTATAACAGTTTGCTAAAATTGGTGCTAAATTCAAAAATTTTAGAAATTTCAAAACGATAACTCTTGCATCTGTCTACATTTCTGAGGTGAGGCATTGTTACTATTTACACTGTTTGGACTGTTATCTTCATCTTTACTGTAATATTCACAATGTTTTGGCTATTGTACAAAAGTGTTGAGAGTTCAATCCCTGGCCACAGCAGAAGTGAACAAAAACTTGGGGAGTTGAGTTACTAAAGGGAGATAACTGAAACATACAGAAAAGGTATGGTACATGAAACTCTAACAATCTATCCCAGTGGAATAAATAATGGGTTCAATTCAAAATTACAACAAATATCACCTGAAGAAGGCTGGAGCATACAACAGCCGAAACATTGTGAAGATAACAATAAAGATGAGGACAACAGCATAAAGTAAACAGTGTAAATAGATAACTCCTACCAATCAATTTAAATTAGTTTTGAAATACAGCATAGTATTTTGTTTGTTAGAAATATTAAATTTAATATCTCAGCTTGAAATTAAAAAATAAAATCTTCAAGAAAGATTTCTCATTATTAAAAATTAATTTTAAAAATTAAGTATTGCATTTCTGTGGCAGTATCTACACATATATACAAAGCAGATTTTTTTATAATATTTAAACATGAAAATAAATACGAAAAAAATTGTTCCATGTGGCCCCAGACTTGTTTTCTTAATCCCCAAATAAATCATTCAACCAAATTTAGTTGGAGGAAAAAAAAAAAAAAAAAAAAAAAAGAAAAAAAAAAGCTGGAGAAAAACAAAACAAAACAAAAAATCCTTGGTATTTTTACTATAAATGTATATTTTTATACTTTTATAAGTCTTTGTTTGGGGGCTCACTATTTTTCCATAGCTGGGACCCTAACAGGTGCTACCACCCAGGGTCAGATTTGACCTGGGAATAGCAGCAATTAAGAGATGATCCCATGCTCCTCAAGAACCTTCAATCTCTCAGAGACCTTGCTTACAGATGTAGTTCATCGTCATACCTAGGATTATTCGTCACAGGAGACAGTATCAATAAATGTGTATAAAATATTTAATATGCATACAAAATAATGATATTTATAAATATGCATACAAAATAATGATATTTATAAATATTTGATGCATTCTTTTCCAGTGTGGTCTAGCTCTATGGAACCATAATACACATATCATTTTAGATTTATTTGAATACCAGTAATCCAAAAGAATATAGCCAACAAAACCTTGTCTACTCCACTGACAACACCTAGTTCTTGATAATGACTGATGGTTGAAAGTACTTGATTAAAAACAGGACAAAACAAGAAAACAGATATTGTTGCTTGAATTTTAGAAAACTTATTTTGATGAGTTCATCCGAAGTATACCCGATATGTGGTAAATAAATGAAAAAAAGTTCAAAAACTTATCTCCTGGGTCCCCAGTGACACATAATCACTCTGCTCTTCTAGGGGTAAGATAAATAAAATGTTTATGTCATTAATATTAATATATTAATGATATAAATTAATGAAATTATATATATCATTTTACCCTAAGCAAGGCAATAATACCACTAAGATGAAAATAACAACACTGCAATTTTTGAAGGTCAAAGTTGACTGGAAAACAAAAGGCTGAAAGAGAGTTCTACAAGGGAGAAGTGCAAGAGAAAAAAAACTGTTAGACTAGAAATTAGATAGAGCCACTTCAACTGTAAAATGATGAGGCCTAACTGCCAATCTAGTACTGCACTTAAATTTGTAAGATCAAGGTACCAAAGAGGAAAGCTCATCAGAACAATAACCATAAAAGTACTTATAGAAACAGAACAGAGAGGCTACATTACATTGGTGGGAAAGTGACTTAATCTAAAATGCCAGGTTAGGAATGATAACATTGCATCTCTAAATATATAGCAGAAGCACCAGATGAGATGTGATAGCAATATTCAACACGTGGACAAATGGCAGACCTAAAATGTGTAAGATCGATTCAAGCAAGAACATTGGTCTAGCATTATATAGTGAACCATCTTTCGCAGCAGCAGAAAACGTCAAAAAGAGAAGGTGCCAGGTGTCATACTCCTGGAAGTTAGCATCAATCATGGTAATTGAAGACAAAGAAGGCCATCTCAGGTGATTAAAATAGAGCCATATCTTGCTCCCAGTTAACAACAGACTGTAAGTCATTTTTTGGATCAGCTGCCAATTTGATCTTATCAAACTGATCAGATATATATTTAAGACAGGAGTAAATAGTAGTCATCAACCCACACATATACATATATGCCAAAGGATATATTTACTTCATTAAAGATACTTGAACCCCTCCTCTGAAAAATAAAAACAGGCAAACAGATGCCAATTCTTCTGCATAAAAAAAAACAGATGCTTACTAAGACATGTGTATCCACTAAGTATGAGGTTTATTGTAATGAGAAATATATATATAAGAAAAAGTTTAAAAAAAGTTATTTCATTCTTTGAGAAACTTTATCAAGGCAAGTGTTGAAATTTAATTTAGTAACCCATACTTAAACACAGAAGTAATGTGGAGAAAAAATAAAATTTATTAAAAATCTAATTTATTATTATTAATAAATAGACTAGCTTAAAAGCCACCCTATTGAGTAGCATTTAAGCTAGCTCCTGCAGAGGCTTCTTGATTGGGCCTTTGGCTTGTTTAGGAGTTTGAGTTTCCCTAAGTCTTTGTATATTCTCAACATTGGAAGCTCTCCTGGCTGCCATTTGATCTGGGTTTTCATTCGCATGAGACTTTCTTTTCCTCACTGCAGCCTTGGCTCTTTTGATTGTAATCTGTTTGTTGGTGGAGGTTTCTTTTTGTGAGGCATAGTGCTGCCTTATGCAATTGGCAACAATAAACTACAGAAGAACTCAAAATTGATTGCTGCATTTAAGTTGTGCATTAATATTTAAGCTTACCTTTTAAAAAGCTCAACAATAATTCTTCAGCCACCACTTACTTTAAAGACAATTTGATGTACGTAGGTACTTGCTTTCCGTACAAACAATCATTTTTTATTTCATGGGTAACTTTTGCTGTATTTTGCAATTAATTTTGATTATTTCCAAGTTATAAAAACTAAAAGGTAAGTGGAGGTAACATGTAAAAAAAAAAAAAAAAGGAATGAAAACTTGGGAATCCAAAATTTCTGAAAGTTAGAGAGTTGTGAAAAAAAGATGTGTGACATTCACATTTATTATATAGAAAAAATAGGCATATAATATTATCCACCAACACCTATCATTATTCAGAATAATATACAGTGTAACCCCGGATATAAGAGAGATTTTCTCTGGTCCCAAATTAGAGCCTGTGTTAATGTATATAAAATAGACCAAACCCGGATATAAGAGACTTCTTCT